TCGAATAACGGATAGACTCTATCCGTGTCCAACCCGTTACCATCCTTACTTAAAAATGAAAAAAAAAAGAATGTATTTCTAATATAGAATATTATCATTTCAATTTGACTTATTCAATATTGGGACTTAGAAAATCAACCTCATCATCTTCTATCATGTGATAAGGATGAGAGTAACCTAAAATTACCCATTCTCTGAACAAAAGTTACATGTAATTTAGTTTAATTTAGAGTATAATGGAGAAAAAGAGAACAATTTGAGTTTTGTGAACCATTTAATAGCATTTGAGTGCCTTCATCCTTTCATCCCTTCACATTTCGTTATATTTCATTTATAGTTACTCAATTTTGGGAGTCCAAAACCACTCCTATAATATTGAAGAAGTTCATGGAAATCGGATCAAGATTGAGTTCTAAAATTTATCATGCTATAAATAGAAAAAGTTACCTCTAATTTGATTTGATTTGAATTAATTATCAAGGTATAATTTGGTTTATAATCCACAAGTTGTGACATGCATGATTCTCATGTCTTCAAATTCAATTCAAGAAAGTAGCATAAAAAGAAGCAAGAATAAAAATAGTCTAATAGCGGACAATTATTCCGTAACATGATTATCAATTATATATTTAAGAATAAAATATATTTATATTGTAACACGTGAGCTGCACGTGCTGGGAGTTACTGACAGTAGTGTAACCATATATAAAGCAGAAATTGCAGACAGGTTTGGGAAGAAGAAGAGACAACTCTGGTGAAGAACCCGAAACATACTAAGAGAGATTAAATTTTTAAGTCAGTAATGGCCACCCAAAACCAAACACACTCTCTTCCAAACACCACTATCGACCAAAACACCGGTTTCTGTTCTTCTTCTAAAATCTTCCACAGCCTCCGTCCAAACGTCCCCCTCCCTCCGCTGTCTCAGCCGCTCTCCCTCACCGATTACGCCCTCTCCCTTCTCCCCACCGCCGCCACCGCCACTGAAAACTCCGCCCTAATCGATGCCGCCACCGGCCGTCAGCTCTCCTACTCCCTCTTCCTCTGCCAAGTAAAATCCCTCGCCTCCTCCATCCAATCTCTCACCCCTCTCTCCAAAGGCCACGTGGCACTAATCCTCATTCCAACCTCCCTGCACGTCCCCGTACTCTACTTCTCTCTCCTCTCGCTAGGCGTCACAGTCGCACCTGCCAACCCGCTCAGTACCGCTTCCGAGTTGACTCACCTCGTCCGACTCACAAAACCCGCCATCGCCTTCGCCACCTCCGCCGTCGCCTCAAACATCCCCGCCCTCAAATTCGGCACTGTTCTCACCGACTCCCCGCTCTTCCTCTCCATGCTCGACGCCAACGTAGACTCACACTCACGCGCTCCCGGAGTCGAAGTGAGTCAGTCCGGCTCCGCCGCAATTCTCTTCTCATCGGGCACCACCGGGCGCGTGAAGGGCGTGTTTCTCACCCACCGGAACTTCATCGCACTCATATCCGGGTACTATCACCTGAGGAACAACCAGCTAGCAGCCGGCGAAGCGGAGACGCATCCCGTGTCACTGATCACGCTGCCGCTGTTCCACGTGTTCGGGTTCTTCATGCTGGTCAGATCCATCGCTTTGGGGGAGACGCTCGTTCTGATGCAGAGATTCGATTTCGAAGGGATGCTCAAAACCGTGGAGAGGTATAAAATCTCAATGATGCCGGTGTCGCCGCCGCTCGTGGTGGCCCTCGCCAAGTCGGAGCTCGTGAACAAGTACGACCTCAGCTCGCTCCGGATGCTAGGTTGCGGCGGCGCTCCACTCGGCGAGCAGGTCGCCAGTGACTTCAAAGCCAAATTCCCCAACGTGGAAATTTCCCAGGTGAACTGCACTTAACCTTTTCACCATGTGACGTGACTATATCAGAGCAATTGTTACCCTTCTGATGATAATCAGGTCCCACTTTTGGAGATAGCCAAACCTGTCCCACTGTCTTAGGACTCAAAAGGGAGCTTCCAAAAGTTTAATGCCTCATAACCTGTAAAAAATACCTTACAAAAATGTCCACTATTTCTTCTAACCTATACCTTATGTTAAGAAACAGGAGTAACTTGAAACATGATACCATGCAAATTTCTTGATATAAATTTAAAATATTTTTTTTTATATTTTAAAAAATTTAAAAGAATATATAATAACTGTGGGATGATAGTCAGAACTCACTCATTAATGTAGTTGATCACAAAACAAACCATTATTACTGTATATAATAATTTCGCATGTGATCAATCTTATTTAGATTGTTATATTTTAGTTTTAAATTTATTTGAACTAATTAATTGTGATTTTCAGATGTTATGGTCTACCTAGAACCCTCAAAACATTACTTTTTATAAAAAATATATGAAATATTACGCCATAAATTTCAGAACGTTATACTACTATTATTATTTTAACCCCTAGGGCTATGGTCTGACCGAAAGTGGAGGAGGAGCAGCCAGATCATTTGGACCTGAGGAGATGAAGCGCCATGGCTCTGTGGGTCGACTATCAGAAAACATGGAGGCCAAGATAGTGGACCCTGAAACTGGAGAGGCATTGCCTCCTTGCCAAAAAGGGGAACTGTGGATTCGAGGTCCAACTATCATGAAAGGTTATTTCCTATTTCCTTTATATTTCCTGAAAAATGTGCTTTCATATAAGCATTTTTCAACATCATCGTATTCAAAAAGTCCAATGTAATCTGAGACAAGGCCTATTCATTTTGGTTGGGTTATACTAATAAGCAGGGAAGAGAAAGTTCATATCAGTTGAGAAATCTAATTTCACTCTTTATGATCTTGCCTGTGTAGCACGTTTCATTTACGGTGTGATGGTCATGGTGACGGTGCAGGTTATGTAGGAGATGAGAAGGCGACAGCTGAAACATTGGATTCAGAGGGATGGCTGAAGACGGGCGATCTTTGTTATTTTGACTCTGATGGTTTCCTCTACATTGTAGATAGGCTGAAGGAATTGATCAAATACAAAGCTTATCAGGTGAGATGTTAGTTCCACTAACATCTTTTTTTCAATGTTATTCTGCTACTACTAACATCTTTTTTTCAAGCCATTTCCAGGTCCCCCCCGCTGAATTGGAACATATACTTCACACAAATCCTGAAATTGCTGATGCTGCAGTAGTTCCGTATGGATCTAATCCCTTAATCTTGTGTGTGTTCAAAAGCAGATCGATTTACAAAGTTAAATTTGCCGCCTCATTCCCAATTCTAGTTCCTATGGCGAATTCACAGAGAACCAAAGTTTCTCTTTTGACTTTAAACTGTTTGTTAATATATCAGTAGTTAATTTTTTTATCATCGACTGAGATCACTTACTTTATGCATGCTGAACTTAGAGAAGACAAATCCAATCCAAAAGAAGAAAAGAGTGTTGTTAATGCGGGCAATTCACTTACCTTAACATAAATGAATTGGTCTTGTTACGAGGTTAACTTAGTCTGCTATTAATAATTTTTTGGTAACAGGTACCCTGATGAAGAAGCAGGACAGATTCCTATGGCCTTTGTAGTAAGAAAACCTGGAAGCAACATCTCTGCAAATCAGGTCATGGAGTTTGTGGCAAAGCAGGTCTGCTTCTGAAACCATGTGTTCAGTAACAAACACTCATAAAACCTGGATGTTCCTGTGAACAAGTCTTATTTCTTTCCATGCTGCTTAAGTATGCTTATTCATGTAGGTTTCTCCGTACAAGAAGATACGGCGTGTTTCTTTTGTCAATTCTATCCCAAAATCTCCGGCTGGCAAAATTTTGAGAAGAGAATTAGTTGATTATGCTCTATCCAGTGGTTCATCCAAATTGTGATCTAGAAAAGAAAAGCATGTAAAGCAGCACTTAACATGTGCTACATTTTTCTCTTTAGGGATTCTCTTGTTATGATGTTAACATATTTACTACTTCAAATACTTGAAGCATATAACTTTGCAATTCTCTAAAATCTCTACTCTGTGTGTTATTACAGATAGTTGTAACTTGTTCAGATGGAATAAATGCAGGAAATAATGTGAAGCACCTGGCGTTGTACACCATGTAGTTATTCAACCCTTTTCACTACTGAGAATTTCAGTGGTTTGTAGACTTGAGATGTGTTTCATTTGTATCCATTACCCAAAAATTCAACAATTTTTCTATTCACACACATACACACCTCACTCAAATCTAATCATTCTTCATCTACCCTTTCTATGTACCAAACTTTCTCCAAGAAACATTTTCTTGCACATTTTCTCTACAGTTATGAAAGATCTGCATCAATTTCGTTATTCATTACAAAAATCAATTTGATTATTATATCACTGGTAAAAGATGAACACGGGAGTGTGAAATCTATAGAAAATATCTTACAGATATACACAAACTTTGAAATGTTAAATATATAAAATATATTAAAATTCAAAAAAATAATTATGTATATTTGTAAGAAAATTGGGAGGCCAAGTACACTAACATATAACCGTGGTGACAAAACTGGCTGTCCTGTTTTGGTCCAGTTCATCATAGATCTGTCAGAAAGGGATTGGCATAGGTTGGCATGTTACTGCAAAGTAAATTTTGTAACTTGTCAAAGGGCGAGTTGATGGGTTAATCCGTTACTTTTTAAAATTTTTATATTTATTTATTTATTTTAAAATTTTGTTTATATATAAAAATAAATAACTATTAGTAATATATTTAATCATTTAAATATTTTTTAATTGGTTTATTAATATTTTTAATTAAACAAATAAAAATAATTATTATATCTAAATGTTAAATTTTACTTATAACTAATAATTAAAATTTAATTTTTAAGTATTAATAATTTAAGTTATTATTTTATTATTTACATTCTTAAGAGAATATAATACAAATAAAATTAATCTATTAAATTATTTTTATTTTTATTTTTAAAATAAAGTAAGTGGACCTGTCGGCTCATCTCTGACTTATCAATTTATCGGAANTGAGAAATCTAATTCACTCTTTATGATCTTGCCTGTGTAGCACGTTTCATTTACGGTGTGATGGTCATGGTGACGGTGCAGGTTATGTAGGAGATGAGAAGGCGACAGCTGAAACATTGGATTCAGAGGGATGGCTGAAGACGGGCGATCTTTGTTATTTTGACTCTGATGGTTTCCTCTACATTGTAGATAGGCTGAAGGAATTGATCAAATACAAAGCTTATCAGGTGAGATGTTAGTTCCACTAACATCTTTTTTTCAATGTTATTCTGCTACTACTAACATCTTTTTTTCAAGCCATTTCCAGGTCCCCCCCGCTGAATTGGAACATATACTTCACACAAATCCTGAAATTGCTGATGCTGCAGTAGTTCCGTATGGATCTAATCCCTTAATCTTGTGTGTGTTCAAAAGCAGATCGATTTACAAAGTTAAATTTGCCGCCTCATTCCCAATTCTAGTTCCTATGGCGAATTCACAGAGAACCAAAGTTTCTCTTTTGACTTTAAACTGTTTGTTAATATATCAGTAGTTAATTTTTTTATCATCGACTGAGATCACTTACTTTATGCATGCTGAACTTAGAGAAGACAAATCCAATCCAAAAGAAGAAAAGAGTGTTGTTAATGCGGGCAATTCACTTACCTTAACATAAATGAATTGGTCTTGTTACGAGGTTAACTTAGTCTGCTATTAATAATTTTTTGGTAACAGGTACCCTGATGAAGAAGCAGGACAGATTCCTATGGCCTTTGTAGTAAGAAAACCTGGAAGCAACATCTCTGCAAATCAGGTCATGGAGTTTGTGGCAAAGCAGGTCTGCTTCTGAAACCATGTGTTAAGTAACAAACACTCATAAAACCTGGATGTTCCTGTGAACAAGTCTTATTTCTTTCCATGATGCTTAAGTATGCTTATTCATGTAGGTTTCTCCGTACAAGAAGATACGGCGTGTTTCTTTTGTCAATTCTATCCCAAAATCTCCGGCTGGCAAAATTTTGAGAAGAGAATTAGTTGATTATGCTCTATCCAGTGGTTCATCCAAATTGTGATCTAGAAAAGAAAAGCATGTAAAGCAGCACTTAACATGTGCTACATTTTTCTCTTTAGGGATTCTCTTGTTATGATGTTAACATATTTACTACTTCAAATACTTGAAGCATATAACTTTGCAATTCTCTAAAATCTCTACTCTGTGTGTTATTACAGATAATTGTAAATTGTTCAGATGGAATAAATGCAGGAAATAATGTGAAGCACCTGGCGTTGTACACCATGTAGTTATTCAACCCTTTTCACTACTGAGAATTTCAGTGGTTTGTAGACTTGAGATGTGTTTCATTTGTATCCATTACCCAAAAATTCAACAATTTTTCTATTAACACACATACACACCTCACTCAAATCTAATCATTCTTCATCTACCCTTTCTATGTACCAAACTTTCTCCAAGAAACATTTTCTTGCACATTTTCTCTACAGTTATGAAAGATCTGCATCAATTTCGTTATTCATTACAAAAATCAATTTGATTATTATATCACTGGTAAAAGATGAACACGGGAGTGTGAAATCTATAGAAAATATCTTACAGATATACACAAAATTTGAAATGTTAAATATATAAAATATATTAAAATTCAAAAAAATAATTATGTATATTTGTAAGAAAATTGGGAGGCCAAGTACACTAACATATAACCGTGGTGACAAAACTGGCTGTCCTGTTATGGTCCAGTTCATCATAGATCTGTCAGAAAGGGATTAACATAGGTTGGCATGTTACTGCAAAATAAATTTTGTAACTTGTCAAAGGGCGAGTTGATGGGTTAATCCGTTACTTTTTAAAATTTTTATATTTATTTATTTATTTTAAAATTTTGTTTATATATAAAAATAAATAACTATTAGTAATATATTTAATCATTTAAATATTTTTTAATTGGTTTATTAATATTTTTAATTAAACAAATAAAAATAATTATTATATCTAAATGTTAAATTTTACTTATAACTAATAATTAAAATTTAATTTTTAAGTATTAATAATTTAAGTTATTATTTTATTATTTACATTCTTAAGAGAATATAATACAAATAAAATTAATCTATTAAATTATTTTTATTTTTATTTTTAAAATAAAGTAAGTGGACCTGTCGGCTCATCTCTGACTTATCAATTTATCGGAAAAGATGAATAAGACCAAAATGAGTTGAAAATATCAACTTGATTGATTCTCTTTTATATGAGTTGGCAAACCAGTTTGAAATTTTATTTTTCATTCATATATCGTAACTTCCTTACAATATAATAAATTTACTTAATATAAGTTCATATTAAAATATATCTTATTTTCTTATTTAATGTCTTAATTTTATTATAACTCAATCTATCATATATAAAATCTTTTGAAACAAATAAATAAACCTTATCGGTTATTTTTCAAGATAAAAATATAAATGAAATATTAATAAAAATAGTAAAATTTAATCCTACAACGTGTAGTGGCAGATGATTTCATATTCATTAAAATACATAAATCACAAGTTGTAAATCTTACAACATCTTAAACAATAATAAAATACCTACATATCAATATCTGAAAATAATAATAGCAAATTATTTTGTCATCGTAAATTTGTCTTTTGGTATGGAGTGATTGGCAGAGTCAATGGTTTTGCTACCAATACTGTTACTCGTCGTCTCTCATGTTAACAGAATTCATTTTATATATATATATATATATATATATTAAATAATATATCAGAAGTGACATTGTGTTTTAAATAATAAAATTCATTTATATTAATATTAAAAATTCAAATAATAAAACTCATTTATATTAATATTAAAATTTCAAATGTATAAATTTCTGTTAAGAAATTTTATTATCTAAAAATATATTATTTTTCTAAAGCATTTTCTCTAATAACTTTCTATTTTATTTCTAAGTTTTTTAATTTCTAATTTATTTGTTTGAATATCATATTCCGTCTATGTAACTTTTGAAGTTTATTTAAGATCTTTAAGTTTATTTGATTAGTTTTTTCAAAAGAATATATTTATGTCTACTCTTTTTTTTCTTGTATGTATATTCTTCCATGCATGTAAGCTATTCTAGTTTGTATGTATCATTTGAGTCTTTTATAACACTCTCTGTTAATTAGTAGTCCCAACGATGTACGTTAATCATATTTTTGTGGTTTGTAGCGTACATAGAGTTCCTCAAGTTGTTGAAGTCGTTCGAGGATCCTTAGAGTTGTTTGATTCTCTAACAGGTAAGGGAAGCTAACTCCCGTGTTTTAAAGTAGACGATGCATTGATAATCTATGTTGCATGTTTGTTTTGGTTTGAAATTGGTTAATGCACTGATATTGGTGTTTAACTACTAAGAAATTTGTTTGTGTAATATGGTTGTGTGATGCCTATTTTTGTTTGCATTGGTGTTGAGTTGAAGGATTGAGAATCTGGCCATTTGGTATTCACTTTGACACTAAAATATGTTTTTGAATAGGTCCTTAGTTCCTCAAATCACAATTTTGATTGTGTAAGTTTCTAATATGGTGCTAAGCAGTGCTAGTGTGGCACTAAGTGCAACTTCGTTGTACAAGTCTGGAAGTAGTTGTGCTTTAGATCGTCGAGCGCCAACTTTCACCATTGAGCCATAATATTTGTGAATGGTTTAACATTGAGTGGTGATAGGGTACCACTGAGCACCAGTTACCATTGTAGGTCTGGAACTAATTTAATCAATTTTTCTGAGTGACAGGCTGGTCTTATTGAGCAAGACAATTTGTAAGAGCTCTGACGTTGAGCACTCTCTTTTGCAATAGCTTTTACGCTTAATGTTAGTTTGAGCGCTAGTGTGGCTTTTTATGATTTTCTTACCCTTGCTTATTTAAGGTTGTTTCTTATGGATTTTATGTATGTCTAGTGTGAATTTGTGACATGGATTATAACATGAAAATATGTCTGAATAAAGTATGTTGTGAAAGGAATTTCAAAGAGAAGTTTCTTGTGATGGTTTCAATAGTGTATGTATTGATATAAGGATTCCGTATTGGGAGTTATTCTGATGCTATAATAACCATTCAATGTCAAGTAGATAAGGGTGTGGTATGTGGTGAGAGGAGTAGAAGGTCTTAGTCAAAGAGCTTTACGTTGGCCTAAGGAGTTAATGGACTAACCTTGTGTGTGGTAGGGTGAAACCCATTAACAATGGCTCTGCAAAGTAGTAAAGGTCACCATAAGTACATAACTCGCGAGAATGAATGTTTGTATGCCTTATGATTGATTGATATACCTTTGTTAATGTCTTAACATCTATATTTCTGTTGTATGAATTCTCTTTTGGTAAATTAATTCACCATTCTATCTTTGTTTGTTTTCTTGTTTGCAATTATCATCTTAATAGTGTGAGCATATTAGGATGTCTTTGAGTTAGGTGCAGGATGGTGATGGTTTATAAGCTTACAGTAGGAGGTCAGTTCCTATGTGTACCAGTTCTTTCGTAAAACTCTAATATGTTTTTGGTTTGATGTAATACCACTCTAATGGTATAAAAATATTATATATATATATATATATATATATATATATATAATCCCATGAGCATCGATAATTGCTAATATATGTATACTTATAAACTAGTTTAAACAAAGCTTCATTGATAACATAACTAAGGAAATAAAAGAAACGGGTGTTAGACATTCAACATTCTATTTCTTTTGAGATAATCAATTATCTCATTTAATAATCGATTATTCCAAAAAACTTTCAAATAAATAAGGAACTATAGTTGAAATAATTGATTATGAGATAGGATAATCGATTAGTCTAGAGATATTTCAAACCAGAAAAGAACTTTGATTGAGATAATCGATTATCAAGTAGGATACTCGATTATCCTAGATAGTCTTGAAGAGAAAACAAGTTGTTGACTTAGATAATCGATTATCCAGCCTGATAATCGATTATCTTTGTTAATTTTTGACGACAAATTTGATCTAAATGGACACAAGACCTATTCAAATGACTAATTTGGTATTCTTAGCACTAAACTTGATTGGTAAACACGTTTGTAACTCGTTAAATACAAATTTGGTCATTTGAACATGAATTGAGTTCATTAAACCAAACTAACTTTCCAAAAACTCATAACAATTTTCATTCGATGCAAACCAGATTCTTTGCAAACTTAGAAACCAACCAAATCCTAAATGACCTAAACACAGTCCCCAAACTTCGAACTTACCTCAAAAACCATTCCTCTAGAATTTCACTCGTCAAACCTCCATTTTCAACCAAAAAGTCACCAATATTCTAACCTATTATCCAACCAGAGCTCAATAACAATTAATCAAATAAAAATAGCAAAACTAACATTCCCAAATCATAAAAAATCATGTACAAATCAACAAATAGACTACATACAAGAATTCATCAAATTCCACTCAGCATACCAAATTTCATCAAAACACTCATTTACTTAATTCAACTATCATACAGCTATACAAACATCAATTAAAACATGACTACTAGTTAAAAAAATAAAGTAACTAGCTCCCTTTACTTGACAAATGAATAATCAACTCTAGGAGTCCTAAAACAACTCCAACAACTAAGAAAGCTCTATGTAATGCCACGAATAACAGAAACACAATCAGGATACACCATTAGATCACTTATTAGTAGAGACTCAAACTAAAAACTCAAAGGATGCATGCAACTAAGTGAGGCCACATGCAATAGGTACAAGAAAAGACTAAAAAAAAGGATTAAAACTCAACTTAATCAAAGAAATTGATTGATTTATATTGAAGAGCTCACCGCAAGGGTCAATCATATGGTCTCGGATGAATCCTTAAGAGAACTATAGAAAAATAGTTTTTAAGGAAATAATGTATTTTAAAATAATGAAACTCGTTTATAATGAAACTATTTATATTAAAATCATTTAATATTAAAATAATCAACTCTTACTATTTTTAAACTATTATTACTTCTAAAATATATTTTCTACTTCTAAAATATCATTTTTTAGGTTTTTACAAAATTAGTTAATAATTATTTGTAAATAATTAAGATATGCATTTGAATACCATCGTATATGTATTCTTCGTATTGATAAACGTAAGCATTATCCACAAAATCCATTAAAAATATTCATTTAATATTTTATTCATATCTACTTACCGTTAATATGCATCTCTTTTTATTCCCTTTAGTATTTTGAGTTAATATTTTCAAAGAATAAGCTATCTCTGATAATTCCAAAAGTCTCTCATTTTTTTCAATTCTTTGTCCTTTGTTCTTTATAGTTACACATGTTTTATATCTAGAAAAACAAGTTGAAGGA